ATCTTTTTATAATTCGTTTTTCCCACTCTTATTTAGATAGAATTATAGCAGCTCCGTCCAATATTTGTCGGCGAGGTAGTTAGGGTATTTATATTAATATAAATTAGTAAATTCGAGGGTATTATATTCTTCGACTATAAATACTAGAGGCGGGATTAGAGGCGGAGTAGCGTTTATTATATATATAGTTGTAAAGAGAGTCCGGTTAGTATTAGAGAGGCTATTAATTTCTTCCTAAATTAGGGTTCGGTACTATTATATTTAGGGTATATCGGTTTCTTATACCTCTTCTTTATTAGAATCTTCCTTATCGGGTCCTTATTTATATTTATTATTTATTTCCTATTATACCTCCTAATCGAAGTCTATAATTCTATCTATAGCGTTTTCTAAATTATTTTAATTATATTCGGCGCTAGCGATTTCAATTACCCTAATTCCTTCTACTATAATAATTTCTATTTTCTTCTAATTTAATTATTTAAATGTACGGTAATTTCTCTTTATATACTTAGTCTTACTATAATTAAAATATTTAATTTTTGAAAAGTTTTATTTACTTTAATTGGCTTAGGCTATATTAATTTTTATAGGTCCGGAATAAGTAATTCCGGAAATATAGGTTCCCTAAATCCTTTTCTTCTTAGTATTAGTATTAAATTTAAGAAGGACGAAAGTAGTTGTTCTTTCTTTCTTTTCTTATTCCTATTAGAATTATCGATTATCGATACGAATAGTTTTATCTATATAAGTATTAATAATTTCGGGACGGTCTTCCTTATAAAACTCGTCCTTAATTCGTTCCTTAAGGCTATTGTAGAATAGTTATATTAGTTTGTCGTCGTTAATATAACTACGGAGGGAGTTTTATTTAAAAAGCGTAGTATAGGCTAAAGTAGATTTAATTTATTAAAAATAGGTTAAATATTCCTAAGCCCTACGAATTTTATCCTTTTCTCTAAAAAATTGGGAGAGGGCCTAAGTAAATTCTTTATAGGAACCTAGGATATTCTTAATAATATTTAAAGCTTAATCTCCGTTGTTATAATAGTCTTTAAAAATAGGTTTATATTAAGTAAAGGCTTTATCTACAAATCGAATACCCGTATAAATTACTTTCTCGAATTTAGAAGTAAACTAATCTCTATAAAAGTAAAAATAAATATATATTTAAATTAAAAATCCTACAAGGGCGGCCTACTAGCTATCGAACTCCTTAAGTACAAATAATTTAATCCTTAGTCTATTAATAAGAGTAATTCCCTCTCCTACTTTTACTTCGGGGGTACCGGATTTAACTTTAAATTAAGTTTTAAATTAGAGGATACATTCCTATATAATTTTAAACTATTACTATATAGTAGCGAAGTTCAAGGGCTTACCGTAGGTATTATTATCGTTTCCGGTAGTAGTAAATATAGTAAAGCGAAGATGATACTTTTAGTACTATTTAAAATAGGCCAAAGGGAGTAGTTAATATATAACGAATAGTAATTTAATTTGCCTAAGTAAAATAATTGAAGGTAGTAAATTATTAGAATCGTTCGGTAAAGCCAAAAGGTTTATAATAAATATACGTGCGTAATACTAGTCTCGGTAATAATAATTAATTGTATTAACTACTGTCGAACTATCTAATAATTTAAATTCTTTAGTCGTCCTTATATTCTAACGTTTATTATAAATGTATATAGGGCTTATAGTCCCGTTCCGGGCTTATAAGCCCTTTCCTAGCTTATAAGTTCGTTATAGGCTTATAAGTTCATTGCTAGCTTATGAGCTCCTAATATCAGTTTGAGCTCTTCCTAGTTCTAGCCCCAGTCTCCTATAGTATTATAGTTACACTGCCCAGCCTTTCCGTAGCTATTACGTTACCAGTGGCTTGGTTAGCCCATATCATCACTTAAGTTCGTAACACTAGCACTCTCCCCCTCTCTCTAACCCCAAATAATAGTAACCGCCAATTTAGTAGTAGCTGTTATACGGCTAAATACTAGTTCCTACTAGCTCTAGTTAGTTTAGTTATAGACTGCTAGTTTCTATTAGATAGTTGCCTTAGTTGCTTTAATACTAGGACGGTCCGCCGCCTTCTAACTAGTAGTAAGGGGAGGGATGGGTTATACTAGTAATGTAGTATGAGCGAGCTCCAACCCTTATAGTACTGCCTCTAGTGCCTTTAGTATATTTATAGGGATATATAAGGGGAGTTTTCTAGCCGCCTCCCTAGTACTTATACGGCAGTGGGTATTAGAATTAGGGTGGGTACGTATACTCTGGGGAGCGTGTGTAGTAATAAAGCTAGTAAGAGGGATAGTATTATTATTAGCAACTACTGTATTAACCGCCTTAGTAGTAGATAATTAATTTGATTGACAGCTCTAAATACCCTTATGTAAAAAAGAATACGTAAAAAGGTAGATCTGGTAATGCGCGGGCATTGATTTAGCGGTTTCAGTTGTACAGGTAGTGCGGTGTGGTGGCTGGGCTGGGCTGGGCTGGGCGGCTGCGCTTACTTAGCGTTGTAAAAGTGGGTTATACTAGCCATGCACGCTTTTTATACTAGCCAGCTAAAGAATGCGGTCTTTGAGGGCTGGAAGGTTACATTTTCGATAGAACTCTGCTAAAAGACATGCTAAAACGAGCCTGACCTATAGACTGACGACTGAATTACATTGTTCCTTGCTCGATCGTTTCGAATCTTTCAAGTCCGGGCCCCGTCTGCGATAGGAAGAGAGGGCAGCCGGAGAAGACGCCGAAATGTACATGTGGAGAGGCAGGAATGGGATTCAGAGAATCTACAGTATGGAAGGCAGAAACCGGTACTGGTACCGTAGAAGGGACTGAGGTGTGGACGAGGGGTTACCTCTACCGCTGCGTTTCCAGTTCTTGCTTGGTCTCTGTTCCATCTCTTCTGCATCTTTTCTGTTTCCGTGAACCGTTACGGAAGTGGATTCTAGGTTAACTGTCGCGGTTGACAGCTGGCCCGGTACCGAAGCATCCGACGACCACGTACACCAAGATTGTACTTCTGTGTTGTCTTTCGAGACACACTTCTGGCTGTTAACCTTGCAAGGACAAGAACTCATTGGAGAAACCTTTTTCTTTTCTTTTTTCTTCTTTTTGCTACTTTCACGTCGTGAACATACATTATCAGAAACAATCAGCATCCGTATTATTTATAATGACTGTGTACCATACACTGCTATTGATGCGCCATACTTAGCTACAGTACCTATGAAGAAGAGGCTATGTACTAGCTACCCATGCGGGCTCTTCACCGTGGGGGGGGGGGGGGGGTCGCTGATCAACCGTCTGGAAGTCAACACACATGGTTAACTCTCTGGCGTACTTGACTGTAACAAACTCTGTTAGTGCAGAGGTAGTCCAAGAAGTAGCTTGGTAGGGGAGGCGGAAAGTTCCACCCACACACGCAACAACCGAAGATGGGGTAGGTAGGTAGGTAGGTGTTAGTGCCCGCCCGTCATTGCTTTTGCACTTCAACTTTTCCTTTTCTTCTGCCAGGGCAGCATCACCCCCAGTCTCGTCGTCGGAAGCAGGACATTTGAACCGAACCGATTAAACTACCACTGTCATTTCATTCCTTGCTTTTGCCGTTGCATGGTATGATATCAATTCCATCCCCAGTCTCTTCTCCAGCAACAATCGCCATCATCTGATGTTATCCTCAACAATCGCTGGATCCTCAACACAGCAAACACCTCCTTTGGGCGCTTTGGGTTTCGACAGATTTGACCTTGAGTAACGGCCAAATAGAGTTGACTAAGGGCCTCGAACGCGCACCCCCCTTCTCTTCTCCCACCTCCGAACCGAAACGTCGGCCGTTGTCGCCCTGGGAGATTGAGACCGTCGTCAAGCTCCTACCCGCTAGCCAACCATTCCCTTGCCCAACCATTGCCCACTCACACGATACCTAGCCAGCCCATACCAGACCCATAACAGGCTCTTCCCTGGACCGGAGCAGTCACCACCTACCCGGTCGGTCATCACCTCCTCACCAGAGCTCACCACCAGTCAAGACCCGCTCTGTGTCTGCACCGAACCGACGACATTCCCGTGCAGTGGAACATCACCTCCTCCAAGTCAGAGCGCTGCTGCTGCTGCATTGTGCCGGTCCTGGTAACCGCTGTATACAACGCAACCCATACAGAGATACAAGACGACGTGACAGCGCCATCTTTGTGTCCTACTCTCCTCTCTGTCACTCTGTCACAATACGGATTTCTTTCCCGGCTAACTTACAACAACAACAACAACAGACAACAGACCCAGATGCGTTGAGGTGCTGTCCTGCTTGTCGACTTGTATCCTTTTTGCTTAGTAAAGGTACTGGTGATCTGCTGTCTGTCCTCCCATCCAGTCAGTCAGTGGTAACTGGTGCTCTGCATACATCATCCCAAAGGAGCTGGACCACCTGCCAAATCAGTTTTCAACCACCCGAACCCTTATACCGCCGTTAGCTTGACGTTACTCAAAATCAGAAAACATTTGCCGTCCTCCAGCCAGCTGTGCGCCATCGCTCTCGCCCAACTCTGTCTCTCCCTCCTCTCTCTCACTCTCCGTCTCTTCCACGCCTTTCTCCTAGGTCCCAGGTTCCCCGGTCCAGCTCGCCAAAGTCCAGAGCATCTCAATATCTGCCATCGGGCATCCCTGAGCTCTCTCTCCTCTCCAAGTCTGCTGCTTTTGGTTTGCCTTTGGATCTTTCTTGTTCTTCACGCGGTACACTGCACCAGCAACAGAGGACAAGCACCCTGTCTACTATCTTTCTACTATCTTAAAGTACAGACTTCCTGTGCCCCTCCCCTGCTTGGCTCCTTGGACATCTCTCCCAAACTATCTTTTCACAGCCAAGCGTTGGAGCTGCCTATAATACCCGACTTCCCCCGTTTGCGCATGGCGATATCGTTGTAGTTATCCTACTTACAGAAGCTCAAGCAAGGCCAGCTCGTTGGAGCGGCCGGCGTTAAGCACCCGCCTACAGCATGGATATCGAGCAGACGTTTATGACTATTCACAGTGGGTTGGACTCAATTGACATCCCCCGTCATCCTGTCTCGATGCTCGGATGGGAGATTGCGGCGGGCGCACTCCCGATGACGAGCATTTCGGGACTCTGTACAATGTTTGACTGACTCCCAATCTTCCGTTGCAGACCTGACAGCAAAGGCGAATATCCTTTTCGCGTCCGACTCCATCCTCGACATTCTAGGCTATCATCCAGACGAGGTCAGGGGGAAATCATGCTTTGACCACTTCCATCCAGATGACGTGGCACTTGCCCGCCGTGTTCACCAGGAAGGCGTGCTGCTCGATAAGGCAGCTGTTTTGCACTATACCAGAATCGCCTCGAGAGATGGCAAGTGGATCAATTGCGAATGTTGTTTTACCGTCGTTCACGATGTGCTTGTGGCGAGCACGAGTGTTTACCTAGGTGGCTTGAAAAGTGAGAGTAAGTGTTTTCTCGGCACCCAGTGATGCCACTACTGTTAACCTTGATGTGTAGGGAGAAAGCTTGATGCGCCGCATATTGAGCGGATCTTCTCATCAGCACCTCGAGACCCCAGGTATCACATGCTCGAGCACATGTCGCCCAAGTTCACCATGCCTCCAGCGGGCCGCGAACCTCGTGCAGCGCTCATTCTCAACCGCTTCACTCGGAACCTCAGCATCATGTTCGCAACTAATGCAGTTGAGTCCATACTTGGCATAAGCCCAGAGGAGATCAAGGATAAGCCCTTCTACGAGTGTATTCAGGAAAACTGCTTGCAGGAAGCCATCCAGGTTCTAGAGAGTGCAAAGGCCAACGAATCGATTGCATATCTTCGCTTTTGGTTTCGGGATCCACGCATAGGCACAGATGGCCAGGATGATGAGGAAGAGGAGGACGAAGACGAAGACGATAACGACTCAGGTGAAGAGGAAAGTGACGAGGACGATGATGAGGTGGAATATTTGGGAAGCAGGGCTAAAGGTTCAAAAGGCAGGGTCGTCAGACGGGACGATGATCAGATGGATATTGACGACAGACCGTCAAGAAGGGAGGGAAGGGGTGAAGCAAAGGAAACAGACCGCCGACCCTCCAGTTTTGAGTTGGAGGCAGTTGTGTCTTGTACTTCGGACGGGCTTGTCGTGGTGCTCCGGAGAGCACGGCCACAGGTCCCCGAGCACGTACCTCAACCGGTACCGGTTTTCACTTACGAGAACGGTCTCTTCGCTGCACCATGGGGTCTCCGTCCAATTGAGCCTTCTGTGCCGCCAGAACTCATACACATATTCAGACCCCCCCTATTACCCCAGCACATGCCGCTCAAAGAAAACGTGAGGGCAGCCGGTGGTCCGCCGATGGACCAGCTGATGAGGTCCATTCGCGATGTCGCAGTCTTTGCCTGGGCTCTGGTTGGCATCAACGGCAACATTGCGAATTACGCACACGGTTTTCTTCCGAGAGATGAGACGCAGCCGCCAGCGGCGGATGGTCGGTATCAACCCGGGCGGGACAGTCGAGCGTCAAATCACCACCTCGCGCATTGTAGGGAATATTACAACCCTAATAACGGACGGTCTCTCGCGGCGACAGTAAGGGCATCATCCCCACCGGAATATCCCTCAGGGCAACAAGCGCTCCCGAGCGGAAGTGGAAGTGGAAGCGGGTGTACGTGTCGTGGTGCTGGTGCTGGTTCTTTAACCCAACGTCAACATACACCCGGGATGTTATTTTATGCACCACTGCCACCACAGCAACAACAACAACAACAACGCGGATTCGAGTCACGACCGGGGTATCAATCCCAAGCAGGTGGAGTGTTCTGCCGTGGCGCTCTACAGCAGCCAAGCGAGGAACCTGGTTCACTTGTACCATCATCTTCAATTTCTCCAATCATGCAGCAGCAGCAGCAGCAGCAGCAGCAGCAGCAGCAGCAGCACTACCATCGTACCCCTCCTCTCCGGCCTCACCACCATCATTCTCCTTCTCCGATGTTGTCTCCTCGCCGAGGAGCTACCCCTGAATCGGAATATGCTCCTGCTCCCACCCCGGCACCACCCGCGAGGCACGACCTACCACCAGAGCCTTGGACCGCTGCGTCGGCAGCAACGGCAACGGCAACGGCTAGTACAACAACTCAGACGGCACCGGACGGGAATGAGATGAGGAGAAATTCGAGGTTTTTGTGGCAATAAACTTTTGTGAAGCATGTACTGCATGCGGCATGAAGGGGTCGGCTGTTTTGTTCCTTTCTCTGACTTTCCCCCCTTTGTCGTTTCCACACAACTTCGCAAAGTTTCCATTCAAAAGGTTATGGTTATGGGTGTGAATATCACTTCTCTTTCTTCAGTATTCAAGGACGCAAAGAGATGAAACCAAAAGCAAAAGGCCAAACAAACCCTTAACAATATCTTAGATGTCTTACTCCCCTCATATTACCTTTTTTTTTTTTTTTACTTTCTACTTTTTTCTAGTTTCGTATACTTCAAAAGCTAGTTGGTGTTGGTCATGTGAAGGTCATCTACTTCTCGCAACTTATAATCACGGGAATGGGCATGAATGGGATGGACAGCAAATGGCCTGGTCAGAGTAGCTGGCTATACTACTATACCTATGGAATCTGATATGAAAAAGTCGGGTTGGCCGATTCAAAGCTCTAATGTATCGTATCGTATTGCATCGTATCGCATGTGTTGGCGGGCACCCATGCAGACCATTTCATATGAATGAATGAAAAAGATAATTTAGAAGAGGGAACAATGAATAAATCTTAAACTGTCCGTCTCATCTCAAGCGGAGGAAGGATTAAGCATTGCGCTGGAGGGTTGAGTTGTTCCTTCTATGTCCTATCCCAGCTAGACGTGCGAATGTGCTCACTTGTATTCCAGGTGAATATAAAATTTGGTGTGGTTCGCGGTTTCAAAGGGAAGATCCTAAGGAGGAGGCAGGTGATGATGTCAAGAAACAAAGTACCAACCCGAGTTTCTACCTACTTGTACATTGGATGCATCTGTCGTGAAAAGCAACACTGCGCTTGAACTGTTTGTTGTATGTAGGATTTGACCACGCTAGGTTTCTTGTTTAACCTACAAGAAAGGGCATGAAGAGCACGTACATACGTAAGAGTTAGATCCCCTCCTATGGTACTTGATGTACACTACTTTGCTGTTAGTAGGAGGAGCCTCATGAACCCCGGCCTTGTCGATACGACCATACCGGGTTCTTCAAGATATGAATGAAATTGTTGAACTATAAATATACCAGGCTATATTCATCTGTTTGTGACTTGGTGAATCAAATCGGTACGGTGCCAATCCATATTTGTAAATAATATATGTGTGTGTTTTCGCCTATTTTGCCTCCCTTTTCCCTTTCACTTTCCGCGTTTCCCCTTCCTTGCCTTCCTTCCCATTCCCCTTGCGCTTTGCCTTCCTTGATCCAACCCAAAGTAGCCTCTAGTCTTTCATTGCGTTTGGATCTTCTTCTTCTTCTTCTTCTCCCACTTCTTGTACCACTGACTTTGAAGTCTCCTTCTCCTCCTCCTTCTCCTCTCTTTCCCCTATCCTCACATTTTCCTTTCCTAATGCAGTTGTAGCACCCGTTGTTATTGAAGTTTCTTGCGCTTTATCATTCGCGCTAGTCGTTGTTGTACCGGTATCTGCCTCCGGCTCCGAAGGTTTCCCACCACCACCACCAAGCATGCTTTTGACTTTGGAAGAGATATTGAAAGCAATTTTCTTTGGCGTGCTTAGACTCGTAGTGACGGCGGTGGTAGCAGCTAGAGGGGAAGCAGGGTTAGGAGATGTGCGATCTGTCGTTGAAGTACCATTGTCCTCGGTGGTGGCACCCTCAGCAGCAGGACCATCATCTTCAGAGATGCCCATCTTCTTGCGAATGTCTGCACCGGCGCTCGCGGCACTGGCATTGCTCCCTCGGCGCTTGGACTGCAGTAACTTGTCAAACGCATCGTCATCCTCGTCTTCTTCACGGCGCCGCTTCTCAGATATCCTCTCTGGCGGGGTCGCGACAACGGCGGCAGCAGCGGCTGCGGCCGGCCCACCTTTTGTTGGTGTTACTGGTCGTTCGCCGTTCGACTTTGCGCTGTTGTCTTCATCGTCCTTCTTTGCTTGGGCAGTTGCCTCATCACCCGCCACGCCATCTTCCTCGTCCGAGCCGTATTCGACCAAGGGCTTCAGCAGAGGAAGAGTAGTGGCGGTGCCGTTGGTACGATGGGAGTCATTCTGAGGTCCTTCATCCTCTTCGTCCGATACGCCGTTCCAGTATTCCTCTTGAGCCTGATCGACAGTGAGTTGTTCCTCCATCAGACCGGAGGTTGGCCTCGTCGGTCTCCTTTCGCTCTCGGCCGCGGTTGGTCCCTCATCTTCGTCTTCATCCATAAAATACTCGGGATTGGTTGTGTAGCCTTCCGTCTGGTCGTACCGACTGACCATTTCGCGGAAGGTATCCATGTGCGACAACGCCATAATCTTTTCCCGGTAATTTTCCACGAGGTGCTTAATTAGGTCCTTAACATTCTCCTTATTAATGAGGACGAAAAGATCGAGGCAAGCTGAACAAAGAAGGTTGTCGCGGGTGATGGCTCTTAATAGCACATCGAGAATAGGGCCGAGAATTTGCTTCTCGGCAATGTGCTTCATGTAAAATTCGTCGTTCATCAATACCAGTTGCTTGATAAATCGAATGGCCACTAAAAGCAGTTATCATGCAGGTTAGCCTCCTCTGCTCGACAATTTAACCGATGTTCCCAAATTGCTGTGCCTACCGAGCTGCAGATGCTTTTGCTTGCATGAAAGCAACTGAACGAAGCGCTGTGCCAGACTGTGGGTGATGAGGAAGTACTTGGCCCTGTGTTGGTGTTGTCGGATGAAGGAACAGAGTATGTCGTTCAGGTAGCCGAAGATGTACTCCTGCATGGGCTGGAACTTCAACTCTGTCTGCCCTTCGAGATCGAGCAGTGGCTTAAAAAGCCTGGCGGCCGAGTTTTCATAGAAATGCTGTATCAGAAGTTCTTGCTGCGGGTCGATGCTCTGAAGCTGTCTCAATCGCTGCTGGTTGGGAGGATACTCTCTTGCATCTGGCGGCATGATCGGCGCCACATCGAGCAGGATCCGAAGGGCATCCTGCATTTGCGACTTGACACCGAGATCAACCTCAACCAGAAGAAGATCGATGATCACATCAGTGAGAGGCTTCTGACGTTCCTGCAGCTGTCGGTAAATCGTGTGCCGGACCATCTGGGGATCGTGATCAATCATGGCCACGAGGATGTCAGTAGCATGAACTCGTACAGTGACGTCGTGGTCACACAATCCGAAATTAATGACACGAACAAGACCATGGCCGAGGAAATTGGTATACAGATTTTGTCTTGCTGGCGGTTGAAGATTCTTGGCGATGGCACAGCAATCGTGGAGGAAAGTAACGGCCTGTTTTTTGCGTAGGTGTTGCGCAGAGGGGTCGGCGAATATCGAGAAGAGGTCGTTTAGGAACCCACCGTTAGTCTGGATATGGTTGATGATGTCAACCTGGTTGAAGAAGATGAGCGAGTTGAGGACGGAGAAGGTCGGGTCATCTAGGATTCGGGCCAGAACCACATCCTTGAGATACAGCAAGCGGAAGGTCTGTTGAATCTTGCGCCGGATTGTATCATCCTCAATCTTGACCACCTCCTTGAAACGGGTCTGGTTGCTCAACCACTGCCGGTGGTTCGCCTTGTGCTTCGGGAAGTCGGGATCGTACTCGAGGGCACCCACCACACCGAGGACACATTCATCAGATACAGCTTTTTCTATGATTGCAGTGTCGTTTAGGAGGAGCATCGTCTTGGTCATGTTGCAAAGACGAAATAGGTCGTCGAGGCTCTCGAGATCTTCCGCCATCTCGACTAGGTTGCCTAATGAGGGTATGATGTCGTGCTCCATGATGGACTTGACCAGCATCTCGCGCCCATTAGCCGTATTGGACATCTGGCGCATGATATTCTCGAGATCAGGTAGGTTCGCCAGATCAGCCGGGGGGAGCGTGAAAGTCGAGTTTGACATATCCATAGTAAGATCCTCGGAGAGACTGTCGTCGGCGCCGCCCAGGACATTGTGGAAGGTTTGTTGAACGCCGTCAATAAATTTCCTGATATAATGGTTAACGGGCGCATACATTGTCGAATCGCGGAGATGGGACCAACCATATCATGGCGCAACCCTCGGCTTCCTGGAAGCTCAAGGCCATATCCACGTTGTTCTCGGTCCATACAATCAGGGTATCTGCAAAGACAGTCAGCAGTGCGATGGTGGGGGTCGACGGTAATGATTCAGGGCAACGCGCCTTGTTGTTTTTGGAAGCCATCGTCTTTTACGATCTTGGTCTCGAGTAGAAGCCGGTCGGGGTGGTCTTCGGATTCGACAATAACGCGGGGCTCCTTTGGCTGGTTCTCCTGGACGGGGACGAACTGGGCGGTGCAGAAGCCGGTACCGCGATCGAACCAGTCATTGTTACGGAGTTCGTAGACCTTGACGCGCTTCTTGTCCGTTGTGTGATGAGGCACCGGGTGTGCCATCATCAAGGAATCGGCGTCCCCCTCCGGGACGGTCTGATCGTGGTCGAGCAGGTCGTCGGACAGATCGAGATGCTGGTGCTCAAGAGGTAATTCGGCCCCGGCGTGACTGATAACCGCAAGTGCCGCCACTTTTTATCGAAGCGATGCGCGCCGGATTCTGCGCGCGATGGGGGAGGGCTGAGGGTCGCACGGGAGCAATCGCGCTAGATAAGGCCGAGGTCTGATGAAACGGGTTGACAGTGTGGAGAAGTCGAAGTTCTGGACTTTCGGGGGGAAATTGGAAGACGGGCGTCTGGCGCAAGCGGCGTCGGGGGGGGGTGTGACGTCGCAAAAAAATTGGGATAATATAGACCAATATTAATTTAGAAAATGGATCGTCCCGCCTTTGGGTTCTGCTGCTCTCACGCCAGGCTGTTACGGGTACGTAGAGGTAGGACTTTCTGATAACCCGACGGGCAGCAAGTCGTCGAGCCTTGGGGGGGGGGGGGGGG